GATGTATGCCACCAAAACAATACAGCACAAACAATGGAAAAGTTTAATTATGCATGTAAATGTGTTCTGTGCACTGTGGGAAAGATGATGGAGGGAGTGTTGCGTACTGGGAAATGTTCTGCTGAGTAACTTTAGGTGCTGTGGTTCATTTGGATGTTACACTGAAACTCATTAGAGTTGACGCCTCTCTCTCCTTCACTCATTTCCACTTGTAATTGGTTTCTTTTGGTCAGAAACTTGTAAAGAAACTTCTCAATTCTGAAGTATTCTTCAAAGTTTTGTTTTTCTCTAAGTGACTGCTTCAAATTAGAGCTTTGTAACACCTCAAATATCTTTGATGGTAACACATCTACTTGAAATAGTCCTTTTAACACATTTTTATTTTCCAAAAGTTTGCCTTTCTTTCCTTCTCGAAGGAAATTCTCACATAAAATACCAAGAACAAAATCTACTTAACCAATTTATGCTTCATGTTGTTTCAGACTCTTAAATTAGCACAGCAAAGGCAGAATAAACAAAAATGTAATTAATCCGGACCTAATTAGCAATTGCAACGGTATGGTAACCAAAAGTGACCACAATCTCCCACCGCACACACAGATATAACCCATATATGAACACACGCAACATTTCTGAATTCATAATCATTCATATCCATACATTACAATGTAAAAGCTGAGACTTATTCTTGTTTCCTCTTACCAATCATTCCCTTCATTTAAGCTGGCCAGACAAATATTAAAAATCTATCAAAGTCAACAGGTCATCTTTTATTAATCAAAGTGTCAGGGTTTATTTTTCCAGCTTATTTTTCAGCTGTGTTGTGAGCCATGATTTAACTGGATACAATCTGTCCCTTACAATAAAAAAACTCATTACAGATGTTATTGGAAAATGACAGAAAATATCATTTCCAATAATGTTACATTTTCTACTTCAGGGAATTTGCTAATAACAGCTATTCACCAATGATTTCTATTATTCTATTACTAACCCCATTAAAATAATGGAGGGAGATGTGCTAATTAAGCTAAAGTAATAATTCTGCGTCTGAATCAAAAATAATTTACACCTGATGACCAACATTGGGTCATGAGGTCAGCTTGAGGTTGAACTTTCCTTGCTCTGCTGCACTTGCCTGGTCAGGATCATCAACCAAAGATCACAAAACAGCTCAAACAACAACATGAATTCTTGTATGAGAACCATTTCCAACAAATTGACTTGGTTACTCTGCAACAAATATTAACTGAAAGTCACCAATAACACATTTAAATCAGAAAAGCAACAGGAAATCAGTGTTTTCAAGAATTAGTTTTCTAATTTTTGTCTTTTCATTTTATGGACATGCACTGCTTGGTTAGACAAAAAAATAATAACAATAATAAAACAATTTTAAGAAAATAAGAAAAAATATTTCACAGCATATAATAAGCATTGTATTTTTAAAAACATAAAATTAACTAATCCTCTCATAATGTAAAATGGATAAGTTAGCAACAATGATTCATTAAATAATTGATTTTCTTTGTATTTATTTCCTTTGGGTTTTTTGCAAAATGTAGAAGTGTACTCATGTTTTTATCTACCTGGTTTAATTTCTATGTAACCACAGATTTTTCTTAAAATCTGTGGTTACATAGGTTAAATAGTTTTATGCATTTAGTTTTATGCCTCCCTAATCTTACCAAACATGGAGAACCAACATCTGCTTTTATCAGAACCTGGATCCAGAGAAAGCCCTACTAGTTTATAAATTATGGATTACTTATTCTTATTAAACATAGCGGACCATTAAGTAGTTTTATACTTTTACTTTTCTCTCTTTCGTTTGGTTTTCTTGTTCTGCTTGCAAAGCATTTTAAACTGCTTTGTCCTGAATATGTGCTACATAAATAAAATTGCCTTCTCTTACCCTAAATAGAGATTGTATTGTCTGATCTTAAACCTAATACGAAGGGTTTCTTGAGCTAGCACAATTCTTGGTTAAAGTCCAGAGCTTGAAGTTATTGCCGGTTCATCTTACTTTACAGAGTCCCTCTAATGAACTGGCACAGTTTGATCTCCCACTAAAAGTGTCTCATTGCTCTCTTCTTTTCCCCTCAGAGCAAACAGTCCCAGCTGTGGTCCTCAGCACTGCTGCTGCGTGACTCTCGGAGTAAGGAGCAGGAGAGCCATCTCTGTGTCACATTCGGACAGAAACACAGAGGACATTTCGGTACTTCCAGAACAATATGTCTCCAGGTGAGTCTTTGTAACGGAGTCAGGGACCTGGAGCGCCGCGAACGACGATGTGAGCATCTAACGACGGCGGCAGACGGCGCGGTCTGGACACAGGTGTTTGAAATGGGGTATGATGAAGAGGATTCAGATCTCATTCTACATGCTCTTTCTTCTGTTGCAGGAATTTGCAACAATACCATCAGCAAGGACATGTTTTAAATATTTTAATTTCAGATCATGTTTGTTCATCTTCATTTCATTTACTTTAAAAAGCCATCAAGCCAAACAACTTCAAAGGGACTGCCAATATTAAGTGAAGAAAGGTTTTGTAGATACTTCGCAGTATCCTTTGTGACATACTAATATTGATGTTTTTATTTCATCCATCGACCCTTGGACATGTAACCCACTGACTTTGACTATCTGTGGAACCTGAAGATATAGGTTAAACACCTAATAAATAATTTTAGCACAAGGCTATAGAAACCACTTTCTGACTCTGGTACATTTATTAATTTGTTTATTTCTCAATAATTTATATGTATTTGGATGTTAAGTTAGCAATGTTTAAGTGCAACTAAATTCACCAGTGGTGTACATTAGTGATGCTAACGGCATTTAACTCACCAACAAATACTGTTCAGGTCACTGCTGACTGTTTTTTCCTACCAGCAATAGATCATTTGTCCTAATTAAAGTTTCTGTCTGACAGTTGTCTCAATATTCTGGTCCAACATGGTATTAAAAAGTTAAGAAAGCTAATATGACATTATGTTGGTGCGTCAAATAAAACATCCATAGTTTTATTATGTTTTTCTGACATCAAGACATCAGTTGTCAAGGAAACCCAGATTTGTTAGATTAACAAAAACAAAGTACTTCAGTTTAAACCTTTTTAAATGTGTTGCTCAGGACTGAAATATGGACAAATATATCATTGTATTCTCTCATTTTCAGTTTTTTTTATTATATATAGTACAATGATATGTCAAGGTAAGCTAAATATATTCTTAAATGATTTTAAGAATACATTTTTAACCTAAAATTTAATCACTTTAATTCAAAAAGTAGCACCAGTGGGAGTTCACTTACAGGAGCAACACAATTTCAATAAATAATTCAATATACATTCAGATTGTGATGTTTTGGAAAACTAATCCATCACCTTCAGTCTTATAATGTGAAAAATTTTTTATTCAGTTTAGTTGACACCAAAATCTCATACCTTCACAACTGCACGTATTCAGGCACGAATCAATCTCAGTCATGTGTTTGTCTAAGCAAACAAATGTACAGAAATCACACCTGACCTCATTCGTACTACAACTCACTCTCAGAAGGCTAAACCACCGAGCTGTGCAAAGGTTAAACCCATACAGTACGTACTCACAAACACACACATGTTAAAGCCACAAAAAATGAAAACATTTTCATAATAGCAGGTTCAGCAAGTGTTCATTTATAGCTGCACTGTTGCAAAACTGAAAGCCAGTCAAGCTAGCACATACCTTAAGCCCTCAATATGAAACCCAACAAGATTGTATTTCAGAGGTTCTCAGGGACTTCTTTTGTTTTCTAAAAGTGAAAAGACTATAAAATCTAAACAACAGCAGAAAATAAGTTTTTCATTAAACAATTAAAAATGTGTTTCAGCTTTCACCGAATGGTGTGCAAATGTCATTTCTCAGCAGTTTGATTAGTCCTTAAATTTATTTTTTTCTGCGCTGCTTTCATTTTTTGTGTCCGTGAATCTTAGCTGAAATTAAATATTTTTACATCATCGATGCTGAGACAGCTAACATAAAAACGCTTGTAAGTGACATGTTGAGTAGCGCAATTTATCCGCGTTGTATTTTTACCTCAGCCCACACGCTGAGCAAAGTGCCAGCTCTTGGCCTTGAGAAGCACACACACTTGCAGAATCACAGACGCGCATGCAGACACACACCCTTATACACAGCAGGTCAAGCCCAGCCGACCACGGCAGCAGCCGCAGAACATAAACAACTTTCACACACTGTGTGAATCAGCTCAGCATTTCAGCATAGCTTTAGATAAATATATTCAGCCGCACATATAAATATATGCAACCATAATTACTCCCCGGGACCTGCAAATGACCGTGACGGGAAGTCGGTTCCCACAGTTTCAGCAGCGTTGCAGGCCCAGCCCAGCAGTACTGGGAATCCAAAACTCGGTTCACAGAGAACACTGGGACAGACTGGAGAAGGTGCTCAGTGAAAACAAACAGCGGTTTGCCAGGTTGAATGCAAACCAGAGCAATTTATGTGTGCAACTGAAACTATGTTGTGGCGAAAAGGTAACCCAAAGGAAAAACCAGTTCTGAAGTATCTAATTAGACCTTCTTCTGTCAGCCATTCTCACTTTCTCCGCTCACAGACTAAAACACACACCTCTCTCCCAGCGGGCAGCAGCTGTTGGGGTGATAATCTCCATTAGCTACTGAACTGGCTGCTACAGACAGTGCCATGCAAGTTTAGTTTCTCACCCTCCTAACACCTTCATCCAACAGAGAACCCCAGCACAATGTCACAAAGAAACCTTTTTTCTTTTGTATTTTACAAAGAATTGTTGGAACATCAAACCCACTGGACTTGGATTTGTTGATGTTAGAAATACACAAACTCATTTAAAGCATTAGCAATCTTTTGAGCTTCGTCACAAGTAAAAAGGTTTCTTGTGCTACAGGCGTTCAGTAGAAATCAAATGAGCGACAGACATAAGAAAAAGAAAAAAAAAACAGCAGCATGACTTACAGTCTGTGAAGCTTTGTCGTTCCCAGGAAAAGCAGCTCAGGAAACACGGCCAGATTATTCCGATTCAGGCGACTGCAAAAACACAAAACAAGATTAGATACAAGAGTGGGCTTAAAATATAGATGTGGATAACTGCTATTTTTAAAAAATATATATATTTTGGTTTGTCTTGATGCTAATAATAATGGCAATATTTTAGCATTTCATATATATATATATAAAACATTAAGAGCCCACTGCACCGAACCCCATTGAAAAACTCCTGGTTATTCCACCAAATATTTATTTCTGAACTCTTCCTGAGTTAAAACATTAGTGTTGTTTCTAAATTAATATGAACTTGGTCTCTTTGCATTATTTGAGGTCTGAAAGCGCTGCATCCTTTCCGCCGTTTTGACCATTTCTCATTTTCTGAAAATAAATTAACCCAGCAGTCTTGTTTTTTGACAATGGAAGAATCCAGCAAAACTGTCAAGAACATGCGAAACTTCTTGCAGAAAAAAACCAGACAGGAAACCGAACCTCTTTTTGCTACAAGGCAACAACTGTGTCACCGTGGATCCTCTGAAGAAATGCATTGTTATAATTAAAAAGATCACTTCCAACCTAAGTCTGATGGAGGTATGAATAATCCTGGGATTACCTGTACATTTATGCAGTTTCCCAAGCTGGGAAATAACAAAATCACGGCTGTCGCAATGATTGAACAGTTTCCTTAAAACAATTTCAAGTGGTTGGGTTTTTGCAAAAAATAAATACAAAACTAATGGATACTATTTCATAAATGCATGTGTTCATGGAAGAGTACATCTGAAAAAAAGGGGAAAAAAAAGTTATCCGTGATTTAATGGGTTGAGCATAGCCGGCAAACAAACACTAAACCTGCGAAAGATGAAGGGAGGAGAGGGGGGAGAAACGCGAAGGGAAGGGGTTCAGCTGAAGGGGGCGATGGGGAACGTTATTTCCACAAAGACGAGGGAGAGGAGACGATGTGGGAAAAACAAACAGGCAGTCTGGCCGGGCTACCGAATGTGTGAAAAAGACCCCACTGAGTAAACAAGGCCCTCACAGGGGAAGAACCCACAACAACTCATCATCACATACACACACACACGCACACACACAGAGAGAAGAGTTGAGAGAACTCGGGCGAGTTTAATAATCTGGGTGCGATCATTTAACCCCGGTTGAGAGGAGTGAAGAGGTTTGTGTGCCAGTTCATGTTGGTATGTGTGGCCGAGTCTTAAAGTGAGTCAGAGCAGAGTAAGGCAACAGAGTGACACATTGAGAGACGGCCTGCTGAAACAGTTTAACCCTGACACACACACACACAAACACGTGACAGGGCCAGCAACGGATGCTCTCTGGACTGCTACTGGACACAAATGAAGTGAGGAGAGTAAATACGAGAAAAACAAGAATGAGTTAAAGTTGAAAGAAAACCTGTTAGAGGCTGAAAACAACGACGTCGCCCAACAGCAAGAGCTACGCTGGCATTATTTAGACCAAAGCATGCATATTCATGAGTCAAAACGGCCTAATCAAAGTGCAGCTCATATTTAAATTACATTTAAAGCTGGTAGAGACATACCATAGAAGACTGCAGCTGTAACTACAAATTAATTCTGGGATGGAGGGTACAAATGCATGCCACACTTTTCAGATTTATAAGAATCAGAAACATACAAACAAGTTCAAATACTTGTGTAAGTCACTGTATTTATATTAAAAAAACTCTCCAAATTGATACAACAAAACACCGACTCTATTCAAGAATTTGAAGATCTGTCATTTCTCCTCTCATCGACTTTTTCCTCTTCTAACCTCTGCGTTTCACCTCTTTTTACTTCCAAATATGCCGAGCTGGACTCTCCTTAAATAACATCACCCTCTCTGCATCCGTCTTCCACCCCAGAGCGCACAGACGTGCAAAAGACGCTCGCGCACACGCACCGACATTCATGTTCCACAGTTACATCAGAGGCTGCTTAAATATTTAACGGCCAGCAGAAATGATGTTTCTAAATTATTCACCAATCTTCCGTTAAGGCTCGCTCTCGCAGCTAAGAGCTCCACATGGTCCCAGAGAGAGAGAGGCCCACTCCCCTCTGCAGCTCCTGCTCGGCCATCAGAGCCCGTTAGTGGGCTAGACATCCCCCTGGGAGGGTGTGTGCTGGAGTGGCGATGCCAGAAAGGTGGTATGAGCTCATCCTCTTAAAATAGTCTCACAGTGCTGTCAGACTTGGAGAACCAGATAATGAAGTAAAAACACAGAAATCAAATCTTGTCTTATTTGCTGAATCTCGGGGGGGCTCGATGAGTTTATTGATCTGATGAAGTATCGATCTGTTATTTTTGCAGTATATAGTAAAAAAAATATATATATTAGATTAACCAAACTTTACAAATTTGCTTTCTCCTCCTCACAAAAACTTCCCTGAGGTCATGAATTCTTAAATTTAATTATTGATAGTTTCCTCTTTAGTAAGCTGCCTTTTATCTGAATGAGTATTCAATAATGCAAAGTATCAAAAATCTCACAATGCAGAATGGAACAGGAATGAAATGATACATTTACATCAAGTAACTCCACCAAAGGTTTTTTAGTGGGGACTTTTTTTTTTTTTTTGCATTTATTAATTATTGCAGTTTATGTCAATTCTTTTGTTATTTCTATGTAATGTGTTGTAATACATTTTTCGACCCCTAAATACAAATAATTTCCTTTCACAGTTTATCTCTCACACTCTCCCTTGTGGGAACGCATTCAATCCGTTTTCAGTAAAATGAAGCACAATTTTAATTACCTCTCAGGGTAGCAACAACCAATGTATTTCTAGAACTTGCTTAGAAAGCTAATAAAAGTTTTTGTCACAAAGATAGAAGTGAGCAACTAGTTTGCCAGCAGCTGGAGAGCAGAAATCATGTTGCATTTCCTCCTTCACATATTGGATTTATAAAGCCTGGAATGTACCTTCAGACCATTGCTTTACTTTCTGATAATTTTGTTATAGGCGTGTTTATATAACCAATGATAAACAGATGTTGTATTAAGTGAAGCATTTGTTTGTGTATGGATGAGACCATTCAGTGTTTTTGCATAATCTGGATCCACTCGTATCATAGGTTTCCTCTATCCTGACCTAAAAACACAATACTAGGCACTAAAAATACGACATCAAACGTATTTTTAACATTTCTGGATTTCAGAATTAAAGTTCATTCAAACAAACCTCTGTCTAAGCTCTTCCAAACAGTCATGAGTGGAAATGGGAATCTGTTGCCTTTCAATGCAACCATCCGCAAAACCCCTCACGATGCTAAGGTGTAAATGTGATGACGCGCGCAAAACTGTGAATTTAACAAAAAATTCTTTATCTATAAAAATTGCAAATACAAAAATGATGATATAAAAATCAGCTATACATTTCCTTTTGCTTTTGCTCCAAAAAATGCACGTCATACTCGGTCAAAAACTGTATTGCTCCGTGTCTATGCAATCCTCCTCCCGTCAGTGTTTTGTTCTAATATAATATAAAGCTCAACAGGAAGTAGGCTTTTCAAAATAAAATTTCACAATAAAACTGGCCTGAACAAATATTAACCTCCTTTAATAACTATGACAAAATTAAAAAACAAAGCATTGTACAAATAATTTAAATATTTCTCATCTATGGCTCTTAAAGGTCTGGTTCACATAACTGGGATTATCTCTGTCATGTAACATTTTAATATACGCATTTTTAGAATTTTCTTTAATCAAAAACAGATCAATAAAGAAGAACTACTTTATATTAGAAGCATGAATCTAGCTAGGAATGTGAGCTATTAATCCTGTAGGCTGAACTTTAACAAGTTTTTTTTAACAGTGAACTTCCACTAAATTATCTGTAAAATTATTTTTCTATAACAATTAAAGTGTCCACAAATAATGTTGGCACTTAAATTTCACTCGTATTTCAACATATTTTTTGGGAAAAATGTTGCGCAACAGATGACATGTAACAACTATTTGCTCAGATGAATCACTTCCTTTTCCTTGTTCACAGCTAAGTAGATGCATTCATTTAAGAAATGCTTTCGGTTTTAGTCACTTAATGTTTATTTGAACGTACAAAGCTCAGCCAACACCGGATACCTCCGGGATTTTCATTCCGCGTTGTTTTGCGCTGCCCGCGCCAAGCTGAGCCTCTTTGTTTCTCAACCTGAAAGAATGCATCTTTGTCTTCTCTGGGCGTGTGCATGCAGATGCAGTAAACAGCCACTTCCATGCTCATTTGTCACTTGTCAAAGTCTGGCTGAAAGTGAATGAAGACGGAGTGGCCAGTGGGTCTGAGGTGTGAGAGTGACTCCAATGAGTTAATGTCACACTGCAGCGTGGCGATAATCCTCACAGTCATAAACAGATGCTGGGAGGCCAGTAACCGCACAGTAAACACACCCATTCTCTCTCAGGCATATACAGGGCGCCACAACGGTGTGCCGAAGCATGGAGATGCAAATGAAGTCGTAAATACGCAGACACATGAAAGTTGAGCAGCTCAACTCAAGATTCTAGGTGGGGAGAAAAAAAAAAAAAACAACCTCAACCATCATGTATGACCCTGAAAGTGCTGTTGAAGCTTTAAAGCTCGTAAAGAATATTTAACGCAGACAGACGCGTGCAAACTTTTGCGGATAGTTCAGTGACTTCACCCAGAACCACTTTAACCTAACTGTCTGATCTGGTTTTACATCTGTTCCAAGAGTGTTTACTGTTGGTTCACATCTGTAACTTCTAAAATGAACAAAGATCCATTATCTGACAAACACTTACTCCATCCTATCTCACAATCTCCTAATTTAAAGTTCAGGTGAGATAAAATCTTTGCCTGAAAACACAGATATGCTGAAACCTCATCTTATCACCTGACTGGCAAATTCCTTTGCTATCAGCCAAAAAATCCAACATCACTGAAGGGCTCTTCCTGTAATTGGTGTGTGTACAGCTACATGGGCAAAATGTGCAAAAAAAAGTAAGCACATATTATCTACTTTAAAAAGTTATCCACACAACACTACTGTAATTTCAGAAGAGAGAACGCTGTGTGTTATTTCTGACACCTGAATGATGGTGTGCAGCAATCGGTGGGGAAGGGGCATTACTGTGTACACTCTAGACTCCATTAAGCCTAAGAAATTCTGGCCTCTCCAACAGTTTTTATGGGTTCTCATTAGAAGGTCTTTAAAGAATAAAAATGGTGTAAAGGAAATTTTAACATTAAACTATGTCTGTGTAACCTGAGTGTGCCTTTTGGACCTAATGGTCCTTATTGTGTGGGAGATTTCAAGGTTCCCTGCTCATTAAAAGCAGACATAGTGAAAAGGATGTAATTATTCAAACAACTTTACAGCTAATCATTTAGCAGTAATCCAGGCCGTTTCTCTGAAATCCACCATCTAGTTGCAATTCTGTTTTTTTCAGGCTTGTATAAAACAAGCACAAAGTTTGTCCACTGTCTAATTCCTGCTCCCAAATTTCCTCTTTTTTTTTAACCTGAATATTTGCTGGCATTTACTCTAAAACATTTCTTTAATAACATTTGTCAATTACAGGTAACTTTAAAAAGGTTTTTTCTCAGCTGCCATCCTCATCGTCTCACTACCTTTAATTGCCGTTCTCTTTTCAGAGCACTCGGACTCTTAACATCTTTAGTCTCTCCAAATTCAAACAGAGGTGATGCTTTAATCCTTTAACATGCAAATGAAAGATGTCAGGATCAGGAGCTCCTGATCTTTCCCATTTTATAACCTCGGGGGTTTGAGATAGGAATTTGTGACATTCCTACATAAACAGAACAATAGAAGGAGAAACCCAGATGGTTGACAACGGTGCAAAAACATGAGGAGAGGTTAAAGAATGAATGACAGGCGAGCGGAAGCGTTAGAGGGTTTTTGGGGCCCCCCAAAAACCAAGATAAAACCAGTACTGACAGAGCAGCCTTGCGTAAGCGAGTGCCTCTCTGTGAGTGTATGCATACGCACATGCATGTGTTTATATGTGTGCATGAGTGTGTTGTGACATGTCTGCCTCTCTCCCCCCCACCCCAGTCTAACCCTCGTCTCCCCTCTCCACCCCCCCGAGACAACAGGCCCACACCTGACCCAGCCCCGCACTGCCTGGCCCTCCAGAGCCAGTTTCAGAAAAGGATGAGAATGGGAACTGTTTTCCACCCCTGTGGGGGGCAGTCAGTGTGGATCCATCAGCCCAGCTTAGGGTCTTCTACTCTGGGTAGCGGTGCCCAGCAGGTTCCCTCTCGCCCCCTCCGGCCCTCGAGACGACAGAGGCCTTTGAATTGACCCCCGGACTCCAGACTCCAGAGACGTGCCTTTGTCTGGCATCTGTGGGGGGGTATTGATGACTGACTCCATCTTTGTGTTTGTGAACATGCCAATCTACAAGCACTGCATTACAGCACTATGACAGGACAGCCATGTTGTATGACAACATGTCACTGGGAAGATGTAGCGTTGCTGTTTAAATGAACATGTGCGTTGAGCTTCTATTGCATATGGATGCATGAGAGAAGACATTTACCGGCTCGTACCGCCGCCTTATATCATGGATTTTCAGTCAGATTTCTCTGTTGAATGCAGGCCATACGCGGTTAAAATGTTTCCTTCTTGTCCGCTACTCTGTGCAGAAATTCCTAGAACTGCTTTGCCAGGCAGTGCCGTGCAATGCCTGCAAGTGAAAAACTAGCACATTCCCTCTAATGGTCCATAAAGCTCCCCATTCTTTCGACAAAGAGCAGCAGCAGTGCAGAGAAAAGAAAGGCATGAGACAAAATGAGTCAAGGAATCATAACAGACAATTCGCTTCATCCCCACAACTTTCAAAGAATTTAACCAAAACAGCAATCAGAACGATAAAATGCTTTCTTTTGATTAGTACTTGGTGCACAGAGGAATGCAGGTATGTTTTTTTTTTTTTTTATAAAAAGTTTAGATTGGAGACTCAAGAGAACAGTTAGACGTAATAAAGTAAGTATTAAAACTCAACACATTTTGCTGAGTTAAGCTTCTCACTACATCTGTACTTAATAAGTACAAGGACATTAAAAATTGAGCAAAACAAAAAAAAAGAAAAAATAAAGTGTTTCATTGCAGTTAAGTATGTGAATGACGTTACATTAGGGTGGCTCTGATCCCAGACATGGGCTCAGGGTGCGAATTATTGATATCAAAATCTGTGAGAAAGTAGTTGTGGGTCCACCGTTAGTAACTTTTTCAGCTGCAACCCGTGTAAGCTTTTTTTTTATTTTTTTATTTATTGTTACACAGTTTCATTTTTCTTTTCACTGTCCAGACACTGTAAAATGTAACTTGTTGTGGGTTCACCCAGCAAATCGGCAGCTATTAACCTTTCACTCCTTAGTATGTCTCCATGTCCATGACTTGCAAAACTGTATAATGGAAAATCAACGTTGTTTTCTCAACAATCTAAGGATTGATGGCAGCAGCACCTTGTCTGGCTGTATCGCAAAACCTTCCCATAATGCTTTGCTCAGATCTTGAGAATCAGAGTAACAGAGAGCAGCTGAAATACTGGTCAGTAAGGGTTAGGATGCTCAAATCAAGGCACTAATTTTGTAAAGCAGGTAAACAACTTTTTCCTTTTAGATTTTTCTGCACAATTTGTAGCAGTGATCTAAATGGGCCAAACTATTAATGAGTGGAATCAAAGCACAGAGTGAAAATATTAATGTTAGACTGATGTGCGAAAAACATAGGATTGCAGCTCAAATGTTTTGACAAAATTATGAGAGTAAAATCTAATTTTTTAGCCGTTTTATCACCGTGTTTAAGCAGCGCACTGCAGCTGACATACAGAAGCTTATTTTTGTATGTGCATCCACTTCGAGGGCAATGTTTGTAAAGAAAATGACCCAGAAATATTCAGTAACATGACAAACCAGTGAGGTCAAAGTAGACAACAGCTTCACTCACAGTCTCTCCAGCTCCTTCAGGTCCTGGAACGCTCCTCTCTCAATTGTGGTGATTTTGTTCTCCATTAACTGCCTGTGAAAGAAACATCAAGAGGGGGTGTGAGACTGTGAGGACTGGATATTAAAAAAAGGGAAGAGATGGGTTGATAAAAAGACACACAGGGTGTCAGAGCTGATGGATGCATGAGAGACCAAACAGAAGGAGAGGCATGGCGATATTGACCTGCAGTTAAGAGAGAGAGAGAGAAAAAAAGGGCAGAACAGAAACTGACAAAAAGATTGAAGGAGATTGACAATAGAGAAGAGAGGGAATGGAAGAAGAGAAAGAAATGATCGGTTGCATTTGGTGCGAAAAAAAGAGACAGCAGTGTGGAGGGGATGGAAAGTCGGAGAATGTTGAAGCAGCAAAAGAGAGGGAGAAAAGACAATCAGCGACAGGTCGATAAGCCCTCAGAATCGACTTTAAAAGTAACCCATCAGTTAGACAGAAACTCATCCATCATCCAATTTGCTTGCTGTCCAACCACATCGCTGTGACCACTCATTCCCTAACACCAGCAAAACTCCAGCAGGATTGTGCCGCTGACCAAGCCCAACAACAAGACACAAACGTTTAATGTGCTGTAAGCATAAGATGATTAAGGAACGGGGCGATAAACGCGACCCATATCGGAGGATTTTACACCGAGAGATTCAAAACAACCACTAATTATGCTAATGCAATTTGTGGTCATGTGTGGCTCTCAGATCATAAAGATCTGCACAATTTTTACATCACTCTGTGGTTATTTTGCATCTATTTATTACAATTTTCCAGTCATAACTTCTCTTTTCATATCATTTTACAAATCTTTGTGGTTGTTTTCACTCCAGCTCAGATTTACTTTTGTCTGGAATCTGGCTTTGAGTTTCTGTGGTTTTATCACACAAGTTTATGACTGGTTGGTTGGTGACTCACATTGCCAGTCAAATCTATTTAAAACTTTGTAAGCAACTTGTCATTCTTAAGATTGATTTGTAGGTTAGTTTGAATCAAAATTCTGGTTGTTTCCATTTCATCTCATCCAACCACCCATTATCTGTCTATGCAGAGTAGGGGTTGGGGTTTCGGGAACGATTGTCCATCTCGAGTTGTAACGGGGCCGGGAATGCCCTATGCAGGTCACCTCCGTCTGGAGAGAACCCACGTAAGCACAGGCTGGGATTCAAACCCAGAAACTCTGCTTTAGTAGAGACACGTCAAAAACAACAGGACCACTGAGGACTAAAGTTGGACACCTCCAGTCTTGTCAATTATCTTCTCTTCTGAAACGGAGAAGCTTTGGTAATACTTGAAAACGGATATTCACAGACATTCCCCCATTCATTCTGCCTGACCTCGAATTTATTCTGGAAAGAAGAATAAACAAAAAATTCAGGTTGTAGATTTGCAAATCTGGTAGAGGAACACCCCCAAAATACTCACTGCTGCAACTGCATCAAAAGATGCTTCAATGGGGGTGAAAAAAAATTAATTGCGACACACTTTTCATACATTTTATTTCTGAAAAATTGTGAAACCATGTACTTTATAAGTTTAATTTGTGAGTGTAAAGGAAAAGTGTTGATTGTTTATCCATTTGTAAAATCTTGGACATGATGGTAATTTAAAAAGGCGCATAATCAATAATTATAAGAATATTGCACATAAGGCGAACACAGATGAAATGTTGGTAATTAAGGTTATAATCCCAATGGAATTCCAGCAATGTGCTTTAAAACCATTCACGTCGCCGCTCAGCGGCGATCAGACTTTCCCAGCAGCAAATCAGAGCTGGGGAACTCTGAACCCAGTCTGATCTTAGGTTTGGAAACTTGTTCTTACTTGACTCTCTCTTTCCCTTTTCCTTCCCCTCCAGCCTTCCCTTCCAGCAGCTGCATTCCTCTCTCCGCGGTTACACCTAATGACCGCTATCTCTTTCCATTCTTGCCCTCCATCATTTCCTCACCAGTGTGTTAATCACTCCAGCACATGGACCCCGGGTCCCAGTGGTTAAAATAAACCCCGCCTGACACTTCCAACTGGCAGATTAACACGACGGCATTAACAGGTGCCAGAGAGCTGCTCTTTGTTGGTCGCGTAGTCTGTGTGCTCAGCGGAACGACCGCTACAACTAGACGCAGTGCTGCATGCGGCAGGGCTTCAAAATGCAGGACGGGATAGGAAACTGTTTAATCTGCCTTGTAATGGACTGTTTGGAGCAAAAGAGAGCACATCAGAGCTGTGAGTGTGAATATCATTTACTTCTGTCTTTGCAACCACCTCCTCACTTTAACTTCAACCTCAACCTCCACTTTTGTACGTATTTACAAAAAAATACAAGCAAATAAAGACCTGCTCACACACGCATGTACACACACACACACCCACACACACACACACACACACCCCACACACAGCGTATATTGATGCAGTGACATCTACACAATGCCATCCAAACATAAACAAAAAAAAACATGTAGCAGCTGAAAAATTCATAATTACAACTGAAACTTTTACGGCTGTGAAAGAAAAGCCACGCAGGGACGAAAACAAGAGCTGAACGTGTCAAAGAAAAATATATTTCTATTGGAGTTGCAGATATGAAATTCACACCATGTCTCAGAACCCAAGAGATCCACACTGATATTTTATCGGTTTACAACTGATAAAATATTGACCAAATCAAAGCAAATTGGTCAATATTTGTTCAGTATGTATGTGGAATAAGTACTAAACTCACAGAGAAAATGAGGTGCAAAAATACAGAAAACCAATAAAATGGATGAAATAAATGAAATCTGAGTATTTTGTGAACAATCCTGCCCCCTGTCAGTGCAAAGCAATATCAGCAGGCTTAGTCTTAACTCATGATTCATTCAAAGGTATTTTTTTTATTAGTAAAGTGTCATAAAAGAAGCATCTCCTGTTACATAACAGCAAACTCTTCCAAGATATCCATAAACTTCGCACTGGTTTTGGCCTATTTCTAAAGGTTCTCATGGTCACCATCGAAGCTAAATTTCGAAAGAGCCTGGCGCTCTTCAAAATATTTTCCACAGAGGAGTCAAAAACATAATCAGTGCTGTTTTGTAAGAGCCAAGTACCACAGAGGGAGTAAAAAAAGGCTTAAAGAAGACAATAAGTTAGTCACTAAATCTTAGCATACTCTACAGCCTCATTTCCACTGAGCGGTGTGGCACGAGCCGATGCAGTTTGGCATGATATTTTATAGTTTGTGTTCCGGCTTGTTCACGAGAGCATTTCCATCGCCAATTGGACTCTCACTGGGCGGGCAGGATTAAAACAAAATGCCTTGCTTTGCATCATACTACAGCGACAACAAACGTGATCGACAAGTATGCCTCGCAACATTTTTCTGTCCCCCGATCAATGGACTGTGTTGGGTGACGCCAGTAGATCCACCCTAAACATACCGCTGTTCTTTGGACCTTCATCTGAAGGGGGCCCAGGAATAATGGTGCGGTACGGGTCGGGTCTTTGAGCAACTTTTACAGTGGAAACAGACAAAATAGCGTACCGAACCACAGCGACCCGTGCCGCACCGCTCGATGGAAACAAGGCATATGTACACACATTGCACAAGACTCCACACATCCACTCATTTAAAGTTTACTGCAGAACATTTGGACAAGCTAGCGGAGCCGCAAATTGTGTTTGGCAAAGAAGTGGCACAGCACAGCATCAATAAAAACACCACACAAATGTTAAAGTTTTCAGATATCAGTCTCATGATGTGGGGCTGCTTCTCTGTATTTGGTGCTGGGTGATTTCACATTATTGAAGGAAGGCAGAATAAAGAAATTTACAGAGACACTCGATAAAAAGCTAAAGATGAAACAAAGGAGCATTTTTTCTCCAAGATAGTCTCAAACACAGATTTTGTTCAGACAAAAAAAATGTAAAACTGCTAGAGTGAAGGTCAGAGTGCATAGAAGAGTCACTTCAGTCCCTTTAATATTTATGTGAGAGAATGGGTCAAACTTGAATGTAACTAGTTATAGTTACAGAAGACTTCTTGTTTTCAACATACATAGTAAAAAAAAATTAAAAAAAATACTTTTTTTACTATGTATTAAATTTCAGTAAGCATTCACTTCATGTTTCATTATTATCCACAACATGTTTCATGCCACTTATTACCCAGAACACAATTCATGGGCTATTTTGTGTTGATTGTCTTTTGTGTGGATTACTTGGGTTGTTACTTACATCTGGTATGAATTTCTATGTCAAGTGGTTCATTACAAGTTTCTTTCTCTTTTCCCCCCCTTTTTATTTCTTCATCGTTGTTGTGACTATATTGTTCTTTCCCCAGTTTCCCCATCTTTTTCTCTCTTTCTTTCCTTTCTCTAGATTTTTAGGTCTTTCCACTTTGTTGACTGGAACAGATTCCGTTTAAATTTGTCTTTGCAAAATGGGGAACATCACATTATCTCCTTTTATCCAGCACTTCTGACATAAGACTGTAGGGCAACCAGACCCACTATAGCCTTTGCCTAAGCAATCATTACAGAACACGTAAAAGAAACATATAATTTACCTATTCACATTTGTGCAGAGAAGAATAAACATTAACACTTAAGCAAAATCAACTTACAGGACTCTCAGATGCCTCAGTCCTGCAAAATCCCCTTTGGTGATTTTAGTGAGGTTGTTTGCATTCAGATCCCTAGATTAAAAAAAAAGAGAAAAGCAGTTATAACAGATTACATAAAAACATAAATATATAAATACATTTTCTGTTGCAAACCCGTGATCTTAATTGGGATGCGAGTCTCGGAGAGAACTGCCCCCCCTCCCCCTCCCCAGAAATATTGTGCGGCTGCACTGAAACTGTTCAAACAAGTTTCATCAGGGGACTCCGCCTGGTAAAACGAGGCCCGTTTAAGTCAAAGCCCACTTGTCCAAATCCGTTTTTGATTAACTCGCTGGTCTCCACACAAACCGACGTGGTCGACGGAGGCTCTGGTAGTGCAACAGTGCGAAACCACCAGCAAGACCACAGCGGCAGCCCCTCCACCCCCAACTTCAGATCCGCGATCTGACTTACCCTGACATTCAACACATGGAGCAATAAATCTGACTGTTTTTAGAGAGAGAGAAAAAAGTATGTTTATCAGCCGCCACATCTTGTGATCTTAAGTGTACTTTGACTCGACAGTTGAAATATTGAAAGCCCTGCGGTTTTCAGATGTGGTCCTTCATGCTTAGCGCGCTGAGTAGTTTTGGTAATGTTTTGGGATCATTTGCGTAATTATCCATCCTTTTCTTAATGAAATCATTATATTAGCATTGTTAGAACAAAACCCAAATCTTAAAACTAGCTGTGAGGATGATAATCACGTTACATAATTGCTACTTAAGTTAATTACAAAAAAAAAATCATAATGCTTTAAAAAAAAAAGTAAATTACTCAGGGACCAGTGTTCCTTAAACTTACAGTCTTTCCGTGTTTCGGGGTATGTTCCTGGGCACGCTGCGCAGTCCTTGGCCGTGACAGTCCACCGTGGTCCCGGTGCAGGAACACTGAGGCGGGCACGGCTGACTGTCTGCTCTGCTTATCAAGACCAGGACGAGGACGGTCCCCAGGAGCAGAAGCCTCGGCGCAGTCTCCAAGGAGCGGCCAAGGCCAACGGAGCGCACAGCTCCCACCATGACTGCGGCAGAAGTGGGTGGCCGATACGAGACCCGCAGAATACGGAGAAAAGCCTCGGAATTTCGAAGGAGCTCACCAAACTCCGCACGCAACGCACTCTGTTTCTTTTATGTTTGCTCTGCTCCTTCCTTTCCAAGTTTGGGTTTTCTAAAAGAAAAACGATGTTATTCTTTTTACATTTGGGTCCTCTGAGTGCGTAAAGCGTGTGAAGTAGGAGTTTGATCCCACTGAGTTATAGAGATGGACCGGGTCTGTGGCTGCGCTACAGCGGCGCAAACTTCCACATGTCCCCGGCATGCGGTGGCCAGAATCCTCCGGCGGCGAGATCTGTGTTAAGTGTCTCCTAACAAGGAAAATGTCTTGATCCTTAATGTGATCCAGGTGCTTTCGAGCAATTACACTTTGCCCGTTAACGCACACTCCAGGTGAGGATGTCTTTGGTTATTAATTCACAGCACGCGTCCGGCGCTAGAGCAGCGGTTGCGCCAAGTTCGTCCTCAAAACTCTGCAGTGGTGGAGATATTCTGATTCCGATGGGATGTCAATTGGAAGTAAAATGAGTGCCAGAAACCCGGCGAGAGACCAGCGCGCAATACTATAATCCAACTATGCGTGGTGCGTCAAAGCGCTGCTCTCTGTAGTGTGTGAGAAGGAGAAAGGCAGGCAGACGGGAGCGGGCACGTCTGCTACTGCGTCTGTTTAGGCATCTCTCTCTCTCTCTCTTCCTCTCTCTCTCTCCTTCACATACACACACGCGCCCGCGCACTCACTGCGTATTCCCTCAAGGTAGCAGGAGGTTTCAAACAGGCTGTTGGTCAAACAGCAACAGTTTGACCTCGGAAGGAGACTAATTCCCTCTGCAGTGTCCTGATCACCTGACACCATTCAGTTGGTTAGAAAAAAGCTTGTTGCTGAAATTTAACTTGGAGTAAACAACACAACACCTGTCCACGATTCATTGATTTAGACTACATACGTTTCAGTCTACTGTGATTGTTAACCATCGAAACATTATTAAATAAGAAGTTATTAATTTAATTTAAGCTTAATGTGTGCATGACTCAAAAGGGGTTGTAGATATGCAACTTGTAACAAAAAATTTAAATTATCACGGATAACCAACTTGGTAGTCCATTGTCAAAGGCTACTGATATGGTGTTGGGTTGGTTTGTCACAACATATGAAGCTGCCTGTTAAGTGGTGCTGGATTAATTATCACAATTTATGACATTAGGATGTATGACTGGTTGCTGCACAAAATGGGGCTGGTTGTCACAGGGTGGGGTGGGTTGTGGTAGAACAGGTGTGTCAAATAGTGTCCAGCAACTTCATTTCGTCCCCTGACCAACACAAATTAGTTAATATGACAGAATTACATCTTTAACATTCAGAGAAGTTGTACCGAATCTGGAAGATTACATCATTATTTCATTCAGGCGAGCTGAAGCAAAGAGTCATGTAAAAGTTGCAGGATGCTGGTGGAGGCCAGAGTTTGGCAGCCATGTGAGAGTGATGTGGTTGGTTGTCAGGATCGGATGGTGGCGGCCAAGGTGTCCTGCAGGTTGCCTTGTTCCAACATAGCTGATGTGAACCTTCTCAACATGTTCTCAAGTCCTTTAGAGGCCTGGAAATGAACCATTTATTCCAACTGAATCAGGCCGACACCAAACATGTAAGAGACTGGTCTTTGTAGTCCATCTTTGGACACTTTCATAGAGTAATGTTGGTTTTTACAGTGTATTAGGCTGACCGTAACAGGGTGACTCATGGTCATAATGCAGATGGATGTCACAGGGTAGTTTAGTTATTTCAGATAAAAGAATTAGTCTCTCCTATGTAAACAAAACAAAAAAACAAGATTTACGAAATGTTCTATTTTGAACCATCCTTTGTATGAGCAGCAAAATTAGATGAACTTGAAAAAATTATAGCTTTAAAAAATAGACTTTATTAAATCTAAGCAAAGATAGAACAGATTCTACAGTTCAAGACTGTTATTAAAACTCTCAAAGGGAAAGCAAAAGCAACAGATGTCCTAAGAATTGATGTTAAAAGAGCAACTACATACAGATTGTATCAATTATAATGTTATTGAAAAGGTGATTTATTACAGTAACCCTGTTCACTTAGAGATTGGTGTTTTGAAGCTGTTATTTATGTTCATTATGAATATTTTCTGCTTACAGCTAATAAAAACATGCCATTTAAGATTAGAATATTATATTATATTAAGAAAACAAATGCAGAAATGTTGGAAAACTGAAAAGTAGATTTAATACATGCAAGCTAAATGTTCATAAAACATTATTCACAAAATTCCTATTCTTATGATTGATAGTGTAATTCTGTTAAAAGGGTAGAAGTTAGCTTCACTGATTAACTGAGGGCTTCAGCCTTGACCAACTGGAGTTAAGACCAAAATTCTTCAGATTTTCCATTTTCTTAAAACTATCTTTTAGGAGATGTCTAATTTTTTATTTTTAAAAACAGTGGTAGCGCAAGCTCCCCTATCTGAATTTAGTTACTTAATTCAATTATTGATTTTATTATAATTAAGGAGATAAACCAGCATACGAGAACAAAGATAATCACTGGTCACTACTAACTAGTGACCAGTGACTTAGCACTTATGCTAAGGTGTCAGTTAAAAAAGTAAAGCAAATATCCAGAACCAGTACTCAGTCCAAGAAAGACTCCCTATTTATTTTGGGCAAGATTACTCTGTGCAAGTTGGTTTCAGTGTTTTAGCTCCAAGTCATCAGCAGCCAAAGATAAATTACCAACATCCTGGATTCAGTGTTTCTTTATAGAGATGGAGGAACATTGCAGAACTACCAAAGTCAGCACAGCACTCTATCAATCAGAATTTCATGCCGTACTGGCCAGACAAAGGCTGTTGCTAAGTAAAGTTTAAAAGTCATTCATGTTACCTTTGAAGTTCCCCAAATGGTACCTGACATTTAGAGTATGAAAAGTTAAATTCACTGAACTATTTACAATGCCCTTAAAGTATTTCTTCCCCTTGAACTTTTTCCCAGTTTTTCCCCTTCCGACGATTTTAACTTTGAAGAATTTCACTGGTACTTTGTGAAACTGACCAACACAAAGCAGTGCATATGAAGAAAGAGGAAATCGTTTTCTAAATGTTAGACAAATAAAATCTGAAAAGTGCGGTGCGTAATCATAATCAGACCCCATATTTACGATCCTCTTAAATAAAATCTAAGAGGGTGTGTCATTAAATCTCAGTATAAATGCAGCTGCCCTGTGCGGGTTTCACATGAGACCAAACAGCATCACGAAGACCAAAGATTACAACAGACTGATCAGGAGGAAAGTTGTGGAAAGAATGATAGATGAAACCAGCAAGAAAACAGGGTGTAAAATACTTGAGAGTCAGAGGTTCACTTTTTAGCAGGGAAATGGCACAATAATTCATGTTAGAATGGGTCGATCAAAATCCATAACTGAATCCAATTATACATCAGTGGCAAAACTTAAAAACTGATGCCTACCATTGCATCCAGCCTAACAGAACCAGCGCCATTTTCCAAAACATAATCAACAAAACCTTCTGTCCACTGATAAAAAGGCTGACGGACAATCATCCTTCAGAGGTGCAGCTGCACAAAAAGCTGGTTTTTGCAAAGTTTTAACTTAAGCATACTGAATAAAAATGCATCTTTCAGATTTTTTTGGCAAAGCAATCTAAAATCTAACATCAAGAGTGCATCCAAAGTGATTGTAGCCATTTCTCCATCAATGGCTCAACTGATTTGTGAAAATTCTCCCAATCTGGGTTGTCCTTGTGCAATGGATTTCCTGTGCCGAACAGAAGTAAACCCATCTACAAAAAGGGGGCTGAGATTTTAACAAGAAACAAACTTAAAGCATATGACAGGATGACAAAACCGCTCACGAGAACTGTGACCCGGCTCAAGCCTGAACCTTACCGATCACTGCTTGAGAAAACCTGAGAACATACTGACATTGATTATCTTGATCCAAGTTGGCTGAGCTTAAAGGTCTCTGCCAAGAGAAATGGGAAAAACATCCAGAGGGCAGGTGTGCCAAATCTGAAAACTTTCCACTGGCACAGCAGCAAACAGCCCACGAGCTGTTAGGTCTGTAAAGTTGTCGACTGTTTGCTCCCAGTGGTGAAAAGTTGACCTCCAGGTTATCAGGATGTCCTTATCATTTAGATTACTACTGTATTCATAAGTTTTTTTTAAAGTTATTTTTTCCATCAGTTTTTTTTTTAAATATTGCATATCACAGTTAAATTGCATTAACTTGATGAGAAATAACTGCTTGTTAGTCCTATCTCCTGAAGCCTTCCTCTCTGCTCCCGCTGCTATGCATCTGAAATAGAAAAGATTGAGAAGGTCATTGATGATGGTGTGTCACAGTTGAAGGAAGAGAGAGGATCACAGAGGAGTCAAAGCATGACCTTTATCTCCCACAAAACAACCAGGCTTCAGGGCACAAGATGTGTTAGGACATGGCCTAATCTGACCTGCCTACTCCCTACCCGCCCACCGACACACACACACACACACACAGACACACACACACATATCGTGATGTTTCCATATCCTCAAGGGATGCAACATCAATCACTGAGCTCCTGTAGTGTTAGCTGCAGCCTAATCCCATAACTCTGAACCACATTTTAACACAAATTATTTATTTTTCTTTTTTGTATATATTTTGAACTCAGTATTTACTTTAAATTAAACATTCAAGACAAACTTTAAAATGCCAACATCATTCCGTGGAGATGATTGTCTTCAGCAACACAGCCACTGACGTTTGCAGATGTGGGCCCTGTGACAAAATGTGACTTATAATTTGAGTTTGAATACTTTTGCAAAGGGACTCTAACATATTGTGTATGGTTGCCATTTCTGTCCTCAGGAGTGACGTTTCCTGACAGAGGCACACGACTTTCTGTAGGGAGTGTATTTTGGCATCTCCACTCAGCTCATTGTGATTTTTGAAACAGCCCATCATCAAACAGGAAAAGTAGCAAGGTGGCTTGAAGCAGCTTTGTTGTTACAACTCGATGCGCTTATGATGGCAAATTAGAATTGTATTAGGAACACACTTTCTCTATAGGTTCTTCCTATTCAACCAAATGTTAAATACAGGCAAGTTTTAATCTGCAGAGACGTCCGCTGTTTAAAATAAAAACTGCAGTAAATGCCATGTGCCTCCAGAGAAGGCATGAAATTGACATCTAAAAATGCTGAGATGTCTGGGGAGTAAAAGTATATTCACAGGTTAAGAGTGCAATAACAACAAAGTGACTCTGGCAGCACCAGTCTTATATGATTGAAAGTCATTTTTTTGGTCATATTAAGGCTAAATTAATCGCTTTGCTTTTGAAAGTCAACATGTAGAGACATTTTAAATGAATTGGTCTAAGAGCTTGAACTCGTACGGTTCATCTGAGTGGCTTTGGTGAACTTGTTTTTCCAAGGTTTTTACGTTACAACAATGTAATACGTTACATTTGTGGGAAAAATACATTATTTTAGAAGGTTTGTATTTTGCAAGAGGGAATTTAGGCCGGTCCAGCTTTTCCAACTGGACTGCTGAAAGCTCACTCCGAATCATTTAATAGAAAATAGTTGATGTCTAATTACACAGTGAGGTGGAGGAATTCTAAATGTTTGCAAGATTTTTTTTTTTTTCACCTG